TACGTGGAAGCGAATAAATGAGGGTAAAACTGTCTTTTTTTATACACTAGAAGATAAAAAAATGACAGGTTTTATAAGAGATTTTGAAGAATGGCAAATTTTATAAGAGATTTTGAAAATAATGACATTTTTTGTAATATTTACTTATAAAAAATTATAATTCATGTAATCATATGAGTTGTTGGATAGGATAGAAGTACTGAATGTGTATAAAAGAAAAAAAAAACTATCATTACTGACAGATCAATGAATAGATTCATTCAAAAAAAAAAAAAACTCAATGAGATAGGAAGTGGTGACGTGATTCATGGTCAAAAAGGTAGAATTAAAAAAATTAAATTACCCGTGTGCAGCTTACCATCAATTTTAAGTGTCACATGTGTCAAAACTCCTTTTGCAACTTTTATTTCATTAAAATTTTAATCGAAGAATTTTTGCAAGTTTACACATGCATGTTTTCATTTTAGAAGAGAAAAATAACTAGAGTAATTGGTGCCGTCAATTAGAAACAAGATTGAAGTCAAACCGAAGAAAATCATCGAAAACAAAAATTAGCTGCAAGTGCTTTCAACATTCCATGAATTATTAAATGGTTGGTAGCCTAATAGTTTTCAGACTTGAAAAATAGTTTTCAAGGTCACTAATCAATCCACTAGAGATGCGTGCTTTACGTTTTAAACGTGGTATTATCAACGGTTGGTCCAGACACCGAAGAAATTATAAATCGAAAATCCAGAACTCCAACGGTATTTCAAAAACAAAAACATTCCATGAATTTCTCTGTATTCATATTAAAGTATTTGAAATAAGGTTATGCTTTTTTTTTTTGTATTATGGTAGATATAACCGTTAACTGATATGGGACAATGTATCCACCTTTCTCGAAACTTCCAAACATGGGGATATTCATATCGTCAAAGAGTTTAAGACCTAATTGTCATACAATTTTTTTGCCTAAATATATAAACCGGTTTAAATTTTGTAGATTTGTCCAACGATCTTAATTTCACATTCTCTAGTTTCCAACTCTATGCTATCTAAGGCGTTTTTTATATGTGGAAATCTTACGTTTTTTGTTTTTTCTCGCATAAGCATTCAATTTGGATGTGTGCTGATTTATTGTTTGAAATATAAAGTTGCATGCAGAATTATACCACATCTAAACAATTCATAAACCAAACTACATAATGTATGATACCTTCAATTTTAAACATCTAACCGAATTCGTCACGCCAACGGATAATGAACAATCTGAGCCAGACCACACAAGCCTTCTGGCCACTCCACATCTCTACGTAGCCTCATGTAATTATTCTCTCCCCAAGTCGTACCCCAAGAGTTCTTAGCCAGCTAGTACTTTATCCCCTCTGGACTCGTCCCGTACCCAACGAGCGTCACTGCATGATTCGTGCCGGTCCCACAGTTCCAGTCATCGTACACTCCCTCTTTATATTGGAAGAAACTTGCAACTCTCGCAGTAATACTCACCGAGATGGGTTGGCGCGCTACAGCCTCGAGCAATGCAAGCTCGTTGTTCTTTGGAACGTACGTGAAATGTCTGATTTAGCGTTGGACCGGCAACTCTCCTCTTTCATTTGGTAAGGATATTCATTTTCTGAAGCAATGCCTTGGTTTTTTACTATGTACTTGAACGCGTCTTCCATATATCCCCTTGCAAGTATAGCTGTCAATTGGAAAAATGTCCATGGGCTTAGCCCAATCCGCATTTTATTTGGACGGATATGGTCTTAAAATTTTAAGTCCACATCAAAACTGTCGAAATGGACCAAGACCATATTTGTCCAAGACCAAATGAGTTTGGACAACATGGTCAGCGGACGGCCATGGTCTCCACCGAAACAATAATCACATTATTAAATATTTATTATGCAGCATAAGTAATGATCCATTTATCTTTTATGATTTTACTTAAACTATTTACTATACATATAATATTTTTACTAGATGATTAACATATAAAATTCACATTCATTTGATTGTTTTACGTAATTGGCCTATTGTATATTTATATGACCTTTTACTTTTCTATGTTTCGTATTTGTTATTGCCAGAGTATA